GCACTTTTGGCCATCCAGCTTTCCTGTCACATAGAAACTATGTGTTTTTGGGATTTTACACCTAGCTGTTGGGACTTTCACGATCGAGGTCCTTCAACACCAACCACTACTGGTTTCCCTGAAGCTTACTTACTGGTAGTATTCTTTTTTACACTGGCTCCTCATATGTCCTTGCTCTCCACAGTTCCAACATCCTTTCTGGGTAGCAGCATTTCCTGTCGTGGCATCTTCCCTGTGTTGAAGTTACCGGCATTGAGCTCTCTTGTGCCTCGGTTTATTACAGTGCCAGCAATGTCCCTCAAACTTCTCTGAAAGCTGCTCTTTTCTTGATGACTGTACCAACCTTGGTACCTCTGTGCTGGACTTAATGTTGGATTTGTATTCAAGAGCTCTGGCCATTGCATCTTGTAAAGTAGAGGGGTGTGCTTGCTGTACTTGTATCTTCAGTTGTAGACTGTCCAAGGTATCTACAAACTGATCACTCAGCAACAGCTTGAGCACATCAGGTTGTGCAGTTGGGTAGGCCTTGTGTGCCATACTTTCCAAATTCTGTGCCAGCTCTTGTAGGCTCTCCCCTTTAGCATGGGCTCTAGCCCTGTAGACTTCAGACTGATTTTGAGTTTCATACCCGAGTTCTAGAGCAGCTACCAGTGCTCTATAGTTGTGCCTGTCATCTGCTGACAACTGTCCAAGTATTTCCAGTGGTTGTCCCTTCAGGATCGTTGCCAGGTACACTGCTTTCTGCTCCTCTGTCCATCCATTCATTTCTGCCAGGAGCTCAAATTGTGCTCTATATGCTTCCCGTGGTGCCTTCCCATCGAATTCCTGTGGCTTCCTTTGTACTAGATCACCCCTATTGCTGACACACATCTGGAATGTGACTTCTGGCAGGACTGAAGATGCCTGTATTAGGGTTTAGTTACGGGGTCTGGAAGGGGCTTCCTGTTATCTGGGGCTGATTAGGTCCATGGCTAATATATCCTCCTTGTGTAAAAGACACTGCTGTTGTCTCTCTTCTTGTTTCTTTTCTTTTTCCTCCAACAACTGCTGTTGTCTCTCTTCTTGTTTCTTTTCTTTTTCCTCCAACAACTGCTGTAATCTTTCTTCTTGTTTCTTTTCTTTTTCCTCCAACAACTGCTGTAATCTCTCTTCTTGTTTCTTTTGCTGTTCTTTTATTGCTGCCAACAAATCTGCTAAGCTGTAGTTTGATTTGCCACTTCTCGTTTCCATCTTCTTTTTTATTTTTATTTTTTATTTTCCATCCCATTTCTGACACCAGTTTTTTACGTATCTGCTAGTTTGTTAATTTCCGGTATAAATTCTTTCTGTGGAGCTTCAGTGATACAAGCCTTTTCTTATTTAAAACTAGTTTATTCTTTCTTGATACAACTTTGTAATACACAGAATTTCCACCGTCACTTTAAACTTAACAACCTTTATAACACATGCTATAAATCACAGTGGTTCACACACTTTACTTAAGGTGCCTACTGTTCGCTTGATTCAATTTTCTGTATCTTCAATCTATCTGCATATCTATCTCATCGATCTATCTGCCTATTTTGCTGGCTTTCTTTTCCAGGCTTATATACTAAAAAAAGAGGGCATCTAGCAAACACTGGGACATTCGCAAGGTTCCCCAATAAGTCACGATTTTTCTAGAAACTCCAGCGAACGTGCTCCCAGCGTCACGTTACTTCCTCTGTCGTAACAATAGTAAATTAGTTTAATTAGTATTTGAATGTATCTCTATGAAGGTTTGTGACTTGTTCATTTTGACCTATCTCTTGTGAAAGGGTTAATGATGTGGTACTTTCACGTGGCTTTATTTTTTTACAGTTTATTGTCATTTGATGAAACCTGTTAGACATTGATTCTTGACAGTTGTCTGTATCCTGTTTAGTTTTATTATGGAACAGAGTCTGAAGCAAAGTATGAGCCATTTTCTGGTGCATATTCAGTACCCGGGAGGTCAAATCTCATGCATCATGACAAATTCTTGTGCACATGGGACCCAGGAGTTTGGGTTAATTATAACTCTGAATAAGAACCTCCTATCTTATCTATTTGCCAAGATATCATTACATTAAGTGAATTCACCACAATGGCTCTGCCAACTTCTTTAATTTTTGGAAATGCATGTTTATCTAAGCTCGCTTAACTTGGTTTGTTACTATACATTTTGTTTTAAAAATAGGTGATGTTAGATAACGAGAACTTGAAACAGTCTAAGTCTAATAATGTGAAAAAGATTATGAATTTATATAAAAGTTTTCAAGGTAATGGGAATTTTGATGAACACGTTGTAAATTTTATAAAAGATGCAAGGTCTAATTCTTAACCTATATTTCTGCAGGTTTTGATAACAGATGCAACCATGGAATTAAAAATAGAGGTTGAACCATTTTGTGATGAGAAGCAGGATGCTTTGTTAGATGTCAAAATGATGAAAAATGAAGATAAAACCTCTACAGTACCAAATGGTAAGTATATATTTTTATGATTTAAATGTTTTGTGTTATTTCTAAACACAAACAGTGTAAATTTTACCTGTTTAACAACTCGCCAGAATTTCCCATCATTCATTGGAAATTTCTTCTTGTAAAAAGTGATTTGATTTCATCTGGCAGGTATGTAGACCAGTAAAATTAGGTTGGATTCTTTTGCTTATTTTGATTTTCGATAGAAGTAACCTGACATGATTATATTCCATACCGACACCTGTCGTGAGGTTAAATCTGAAACCTTTAAAATGCCAAGGAAGTGGTCTACTATCTTTTGATTGTAGTTTAGGGAAAGTAAGCATATTGAATTGACTGTACAATGGGTGACAGCTGTTTATTGCAGAAACATTTGTAGAAATATATTGGTGAGTATATAATCTACTTATGTAGCTCAAGAGTAGAGTGAAACATGTAGAAAATATTGGTGACTATATAATCTACTTATGTAGCTAGAGTGTAGATGACAACATGTTGAAATATATTGGTGACTATATAATCTACTTATGTAGCTGAAGTGTAGAGGACAACATGTAGAACTATATTGGTGAATATATAATGACGTAGCTCAAGTTTAGAGGACATATAGAAATATATTGGTGAATATATAATGATGTAGCTCAAGTTTGGAGGATATATAGAAATATATTGGTGAATATATAATGACGTAGCTCAAGTTTAGAGGACGTATAGAAATATATTGGTGACTATATAATCTACTTATATAGCTCGAGTGCAGAGGACAACATGTAGAAATATATTGGTGAATATATAATGATGTAGCTCAAGTGTAGAGAACAACATGTAGAACTATATTGGTGAATATATAATGATGTAGTTCAAGTGTAGAGGACAACATGTAGAACTATATTGGTGAATATATAATGACGTAGTTCAAGTGTAGAGGACAACATGTAGAACTATATTGGTGACTATATAATGACGTAGTTCA